TGTTCTTTGAGTTCACAATGGTTAGAGTCTGCATGCATGGTTGATATAGACAAAATCATCTGGTCAGGCAGGTCAAGCTCTAGTTGCTTGCAAGTGAATAGTGGACATTGGGGACTGGAAATCGCAGTTTTCTTTTACCAAGGAACATAGTATTAAACAATGTATAAACAATGGAAAAAGTATATATATATATATATATATTTACTGCTTAATTTGTGCCCCCAGTAGTTAAAGCTTTAATTTTGCATTTGGATGCAATATTGATTTGGTTGTTTTGATTTACTGCTTAATTTAACCTACCGTAGCTCCTGCTGGGCAACCCTTGCTCACAGCCTTGCAAGCCCACAGAGCGCTGCCTTGCCCATCAAGTGTTCCTCCATTGACTGTAACACCACTCACACCCTCAAACCTAATCCAGGTTCCGGCACTGCCCAGGACAGTGTAGTCCGATGGGGCGACGAGAGTCCCGTCGATACGTATCATGATGTCGGTGTTCTTGCAATTCCCACCAAAGGTTGCTTGCTTCAGAGAATATCTTCCCGGCGGCACATAGATCATGGCCGGGCTGACTGAGCTGCAAGCCGCTGCCCATGCACTGAGGAACGCTTGGGTTGAATCTGTCTTGCCATCTGGCATGGCTCCCAGCCTGACCACATTGTAGATTGCATATACTGGTGAAGGATGGAATGCAACAAAGAAGAAGAATGAAAGAATTGGAATTATGGGGTTCACCATTGTTTTTGTCGAGGGAAGGGTAGAGACTAGAAATAGAGAATTTGGAGTTAACGGTTGATTGAAGAAGCTATTGATGTTTTGGGGGGGGGGGGGGGGGTTATTTATAGGATTCAATTGGGGTTTGAAAATTGAAATCCAAAGCAATTATATTGTATATAATTGATATTAATGAAGGAAAAATAAATTGAAAAGGAAAAGCAATTGAGTCATGATTCATGAATGTCTACACGTATAGGAAGCTTTGAGCGCAAGATGAGGAGATGCAGCTTATAAATCTTAATTTGCCACTTGCATAAGTTTGTATATGCTGTGCTTTTATCGCATTTCCTTTTATTATTACTAATTATATTTTAATTCAATTATCGAATAACCAAATATACAAACTAAGTGTAATCCAGCATTAGATGCACTTAGGGGCTGCAATCAGGTTGGGTTAATCTGAATCCGATCGAACTAATGAAATCTTAAATCTGAATCTGATCCGAAATATAGACAAATTTGGGAATCTCAAACAGCCCCAAGTTTTTTTTTTTATCTTGGTGGGTTGATAATTATGCAAATTAATCAATATGGAGATTAATTAGCAATTAATTTCAATCTCATTTATGCTTTCAGTTCTATTTAATTTTCCTCTTGAAGTAGGCTGGCAAAGAACTTGCTTAATTAATTAGGAGGAGAAAGAAAGAAATAGGCTGGCCACGTGAGTTGAACAAAAACCATCATTAAATAGTTATTTAGTAGCCCACCATTGGATCCAATATGAACAATAAATTTGCATTTGCATTTGTATTTGGATTTTGTATTGTTCATCTTCATACAAGGCAAATTGTACTTTTTTTTGCATCCACCAATATGTAACTGCAGTCTAGAGTTTTGTGATTGAAGGCATTATTACATTAATTAAATTGACACCATTTTCCTATTGAATTTGATACTGAAATCTACTTACCAAAAAATTTATATCAACCACAAAACACACACACAACACACACATATATAAAGTTATTTTTTTCCTGTATGTATTTATTTGGGAGATCTCAATTTGGGTCAGGCCAGGCTCAAATCAAGCTAGCTAGAGCTACCTGAGTTCTCTAACCAAGGCCCAGCTTGAAGCCCAAAAACTCGGGCCCACAGGTTGAGCCCACCTAAGCTGTGGCCCTAGAACAAAGGTACCTATTTGTTGAAAACATTGTCAAATGCAACATATATATGATCGAGATGAATTAATAGTCAATATTTTTTGCGTTCTTCACATTCATATAGACATGGTCTATAATTTGGTATCTAATTAAGCATCTAAATTTATAAGTCTAAACTGGAGCAAACCTTATGGCCTCTTCCTTGCTGAGAGTATGGATGTATCCTGTGAATGATGGTGATGATGGTGAATGTTCTGGGGTGAACTTATCTAGCTTCAAGCAGCTATATATTCGATTCTACAATATTATTCAACTAATTGGGTTTAATTTAAGCAACCACAATTACATGGCAATCACTTATATATTGGGCTTTTTATGGCTTATATCAAAAAGTAGGGTAAGGGAGCACCTGATGGCTTTCTAAGTCAACTGCTTCACATGGGTTAATATTATAGGGATTGTTATCCTATTGATTGTTAAAAAACAAAGGGAAAACGATTTCATAAATGGGTGCTCTAACGGAGAAGTTGTTTCTCAACAATTTCCACAACTAATAATAGGATATGTTTGAACAAAATAAGTTTATATGAATAGATGTAAATGGCTGTCCATAGTGAATAGGATGAGTTCTGAAGTTCAAAGCAGAGAATGTTGGTTTTGACTCTCTGTTATACTTCGACTTTTTTAATCCAAACCATAAACTTTCATTAATATAAAGTACTAGTAAAGATTGTACACCATAAACCTTCATTTGTAGCTACCGTATGTACTTGGTTGAATGATCTGTATTCTGTAATCCAATTAGCACTACAATAAAATTAGTTTACGACCGCCGGCTTTAATCTAAGGCGGCGGTCTTCAGCCCGCCCCCTAAATCTCTGCCAGCTTAGGTCAAGACCGCCGCCTTAGGTGGCCGGTTCAAATTGCTCTGGAGAAGTGGTCACACCAAGCCGCCGGCTTAGCATTAATCAGGCGGCTTAGATACCAAAAGACCACCGCCTTAGATTTCTGTCATGCTCTGTCGTGTTCTTAGGCAGTCCGAACATGACCGCCACCTTATGTGTTGTTTGTAGCTAAACCGGCAGTTTCATGACCGCCGGCTTAGATCTTTTTTTTTTCATTTTTTATTTATACTAGATTTATTCTAATATTTTTTGGTCATGTTGATGGCTAACCTAGCGGACATGACCTCCGGCATATACCTATTTTTTTCAAAAAAAATGCATATGCCCACTTAATTGCAGCATTTTTGCGGTACCTGAATTTTTTATTAATCTAGCATTTTCATACCTGTTTAATACAGCAAAACCATTTGATGAAACAATTTAAAATGAAATCTATTAATTCAAAGATTATATATTAAAATATCCAAACGACATTGTTCAAATACAATATCCAATTGACATATAAATAGTACAATAACTTAAAAAAATAATCAAATTCTCTAATAATGAAGCACATCTTCCAATGCAAATCCACTTAACATATTGGTTGAACCTGCAAATCAAAACATATAAATATTAGAATTATATTTAAGTATTTTAACTATAAAGATAGGAATAGTAACTAAAATTTACATGGGCTGAATTCTAAGCAATTAGTGGTGGAAATTTTTAGTTAATTTAATTAAGACCAGGATTAAAATGAGAAATTAGTTATCTTGACTTGTTAAGAAAGAAACAATGCAAGGCCAAGCCAACTAATATGAATCATGCATACTTATATAGGAATCTTTCAAGAGAATCTGAAAAGTAGTCCCCAATTAGGAGATCAACTATTCTAGCTTATGACAAAAAGAAAACCTATTCTAGTTTATGGTCTCGGTTTGGGATGGATTGTATGACAAAAGGGAGAAAATAAGGTCTGCGTACTATAATCATGCTGAAAATACCTGGCTCTCTAGAAGTTATCTCTACAAATTCATCAAGTGTTCCTGCAGTAAATGCTTTGTACTCCATACTTGGAAATTTCCTTAGTTCTGTTCTTCTGACCACTGTGTCTCACGTCTCCAAGAAGGGTGGCCATCATAAAGGATGGATTATGAATAACCTCAATGCGTCTCATTTGGATTACTACTATGCATTCATTGGAGTACTGAGCCTTCTGAACTTTTCTTCCTTTCTATGAGTAGGTTCTATGTTTATAGAGCAGAGATCTCTGATTCAATGGAAGTGCTCAAAAATGGCCATAGAACCCTCTTAGATCCTGTATTCCTCACTATGCAAGCCAGTCACTGCCGTAGCATACAGCCTAAGCAGGATGTCTGAGATAATTGCCCCTATAAGAACAGTAAGGCTGATACGAGATAGACCACAAGATGGGAAGACCATGGAAAGGCTGTTGACTGAAGGTGATCTGGTGGTTTGCCCTGAAGGAACCACATGTAGGGAGCCATACCTACTGAGGTTCAGCTCTCTGTTTGCTGAATTGGTTGATGTTCCTGTAGCAATGACTGCATGTGAGCATGCTCTATGGGACGACAGTAAGTGGGTTCAAGTTCTTGGACCACATATTCTTCTTCATAAACCCAAACCCTAGTTACCAGGTTCAGTTTCTTGGGAAGGTTCCTAGACAGCTAACATGCACCAGGGGAAGATCTAGTTATGATGTAGCTAATCACATTCAAAGGCAGATAGCAGATGCTTCGGGGTTTGAGTGTACAACACTTACAAGGAGAGAAAAATACATGATGCTAGCCGGCAATGAAGGGGTGGTGTATGACAGTAGTAAAAGCCCTCGTTTAAAGCACATAATATCAACACTGCATGAAAGAGAACAAAAAGAGAAATAAAAACACATTTTAAACTTTTTGTGATGTAATTTTTGTTGGGGTCTAATATATTTACCAATTACTACTGTTTATCCATGGAGATGTGGGGACCATGGAATTGCTTTTACTGCTGCAGTGTGCTCGCAGAATTTAAGCACAGGCTGTGTGGAATGTTGATTCCAAACAAAAAGCTGCATAGAGAAAAGAAGGCAGGTTTAAAAATTACAATTTTCCATTGCCATAGTAAATTATCACATGAAGAGATGCCAGTAAGCATCCTAAGAACCAGGAAGTACAATTAATCACTCGCTTCACTATCATTTCCTCCATATGCTAGCTCGCAGTTATCGTAAGACCACTTCAGTCCACAAACCTAAATCAGAAGAAAACTTTCAGTCTAAGAGAATTATTATCTGTCATAAAATATTCAAGTATCAACTTAACTAATTACATACTTATATCATTATAGCTACTAAAATGCATTCCCTTATTCAATTCTCTTCTATGTATTTCTGCAAGTTGAGCTTGAACTCTTCAATATTGAGTTTGATAACTTGAATTTCATCAGGATCCTCAGAAAAAGCATCCTCAATATCACTTTCTGTTATTTCTTTACATTCATGTTCTGGTGTTGCCGGTACTTCAATAATGGGTTCACAATCATAGGTTTCAGAGGTTGCTCCTGATACTGGGCTTGGCACTGGTGGAGGTAGTAGAACTGGATTGGTACGCACATGTGGCGTTTGATCAGCTACTATGGGTGCAGTTGAAATTACTAGACCCTTCTCTTCCGGCATTGGTAAGGCAAGCTGTGCACTGCATCCAACAAATTCTTTCAATCATCTAGTGCATGAAAAATATGACATGCATCTAATATTGTTGTCATCATTGTTGTCCCCATCTCTCTATCTCTATAGGTAGAATTACAAGGTCAAAGAACAACTTGAGGTGTTTGGATGTTATAGTCTATCCAGTCAACAATGGTACCCTGCTTAGAGAAATAATTTGGATTAACCACCCTATAGGAAAGTTCATTGTTGATAAAGAGAGATGGAGCATCTAACCTGGTCTATCACAAGGACTGAGAGATCCTTCATAATTTGAGCAAGCTCATTCACTGATTCCACAACCTGTGAATAAATTTCAGTTAATTAAAAGAATAGCACAAAGTTTCACAGACCAACCAGGCCAGAGCTAGTGCAGAGTTTCCTTCTACCTGTCTGATCTCCCTCTCCCTTTCCAGTGTGAATGCCTTGCTCTTTTTTAGCTTGGCCATTTGGTGATCATTAAAACCTTGAATATAAAAAGCATCCACTTAGATCTTTGACTAACTAACCTTTTCTCACACAGAATTCTTATTAACACTGCTACTTTTACAGGCTAAAATCTTGTGAACTAAGGATATTACTAGAGAATTTACAAAGAAGAGAAAGAGATTACCATATCAATAAAGTCATCATTCTCTACTTTAGACTTATCATTCAAATCCATCTCCAAATCAACCCATCTTGACCCTACACCAGAAAGGTAAGTAATAATTGTTATTCATAAAATCTCATAGACAGAAAATCCCGAAAGTGTGCAACATCTCAAATAATAATTATTAATTATTAATTTTTTTAACCAATAAGTTTTCATTTTCCTTCTTTACTTGAGAACTTCTATATCCAGAGCAGTATACTTGCAGCATGATGGACCCCATAACCTACAGATGCCGGGATCGAAACCTAGATCTGATCAAAGAAAAAACTCTTTTTTTTTTTGATGAATAATAATAAGTTTATTGATTCAGAAGCAACTTTAGAGTGAGTTCATACATCATCCCAACGAGAGGCACGAGCTGCAGCCCCTCCTTGAGTCTTACAAGTAAACTAGGAAAGAAAAACAATAATCACAACTGAGCCCAAAATAATTCTTCCCTATTT